TAAATAAATATATATATATATATATATGTATGTATATATATATTTGTGGGTTCTTTGTTCTAAACTTATATATCGATTTTGATTATTTGTTGATTATGATGAATGGACACTAGGACTAGGACTCGGGTTGGGGTGCGGGCCTGGGGTCTGGGTGCGGGCCTGGGCATAGGCCCTGGGTAATGGGGCCTGGGTAATGGGGCCTGGGATCAGGGCCAGAACCTGTCGACTTTCGCTGTACCCTTTAGGAAATATTTTCTTTAGTTTTTGATTTGCGAGTTTTTCTTTATTTACGCTTCTGTATCAATTTTAATTGTTCCTAGATTAAGATGAATGGACTACTATTGGGTCTGGGGCTCGGGCGAGGGCCAGGGCCGGGCGGCTTACAGGGCCTGGTTTATGGATCTCGATTATGGACCCGGACTATGAGGCCAGGACCTGTCGGCTTTTACTGGGGCATCCAGGAAATATTTTATATGTTTTGTTTTGGGGTTTTTTTGATCCAAACTTATATATCGACTTTGATTGATCCTGGATTAAGACTAATAGACAGTAGGACTGGGGTTTGGGCTGGGGCTCCCGTTTAGGGCTGGATTGTAGGGTCTGGGATATGGGCTTGAGTATAGGGCCAGGACTTGATTTTCGTTGTGGCATCCAGAAATATTTTATATGTTTTTTTGGGGTTTCTTTGATCCAAACTTCTGTACCTTTTTTAATTGTTCCTGAATTGTAATGAATGGAGAACTACTGGGTCATGGGGCTCAGGCTGGGGTTGGGTGCGGGCCTGGGGCCTGGGTCGGGGCATAGGGCCAGGGCGTGGTTTTCGTTGTGGCACTCAGGGAATATTTACATGGTTTTTTTTTTGATGGTTTCTTTGATCTAAGCTTCTGTATTTATTTTATCTGTTCCTGGATTAATATGGATGGACAACTACTGGGGCTGGGGCTCGGGCTGGGGTGCGGGCCTGGGGCCTGGGTATAGGGCCTGGGTAATAGGGTCTGGGTTCAAGGCCTGGGTATAGGCCAGCACCTGGTTTTGGCTGTGGAAATCAGGGAATATTTGAAATGTTTTTTTTGTGAGTTTTGTTTGATCTAAACTTCTGTATCTATTCTAAATGTTCCTAGATCAAGATGAATGGACGATTACTGGGGCCTGGGCCTAGATTCTGGATTATGGGGCCTGGGGCCGTTGAGCATCCCGTGCGGAGCCATCTCTATGGAACAGCTTGTTTATCGGAAGAGAATACATTCTTCCTTTTGAGGTTTTTTTTTCTTCTTGTGGGGCGTTTCCAACCTAAACTTATAAATCTGCTTAAATCGTTTTCAAAAGTACAAAAATGGATCGACTACTGGGACTGGGGCGGGGGTGATGGAACCTGGGCTATGGGGCCAGGGCTATAGTGTAGCTATAGAAATGTTTTTCAAAAGTGGTCCATTTGTGAATCTTCGTCGATCTAAACTTATGTATCACCTTATTGCTCCTAAATTAAGATGCATGGACTACTACTGGGTCTAATACTTGGGTCTAAGACTTGGGCCTGAGTAATGGGGCCTGGAGCTAGGGCCTGGGCTATGAGGCCTGGGTCGCTGGACATCCGGAGCCAGGTATATGGTACAGCTAATTTGTAGAACAAAACAATTTTCTCCCGCTATAGTTTTTCCTTCGTGGGCTTTCTCTAAACTCATAAATCTACGTTATTCGTTCCTATAATAACATGAATAGACATCTACTGGGCTTGGGCTGGGCCTGGCGACCGGGCCTGGGCAATGGTACATTACCAATAACAAAACCATGTACATCAGGTTATGGATCACCTTTTAAAGGCTAAGTCTGACATATATATTTCCATTTTATAGCCTCCTTCCCTGTAGTCAGGCACCGACTCCTCCAAGAAAACTCATAACGAATGTATGTAGTGTCTTCATTCGTCTGTGGCAGAGAATAGCAGGGGATATTCCGGTTTCCCAGCGACTCCTGGTCGTTGACATCGCAAATTATGACATTTCGCTGTGCTGCAACAAAATACAATATGGCAGGCAGTGTACTGATCCTGTGAAGCCACAAAGCGATGGATGGAGGTATCAAGAGAATTGGAATCTTGACAGACGGGCTGTTCATGAGTGGGTATGCATCAGAGTATAAATGCTCGTCAGTCTGGGGCTATTGAAGGTTGCTCTATCCACGTGAAAACAACCCAATTTCGTGGGATAGCCGTAATATAGCTTGATTTCCTCGAGAGGGGACCACAAGATATCCATTGATCCTTCTATGTCACTTCTTTGTTTCTCAAACCGCCCAAATTGAACTTTGAAGGTTTCATGGCAATCGCGGCTTGGGGTCGTCTTCCCGGCGAGCGATCGTCTCCAATAGTCAGAAACCTGGTCATGCATTTGTCGTATTGAGCGGGGAAATTAATTTCTGTTGCAACCAGTTGGTAGCACGGCAACTTAGTGATCGGCGTACCGATAATATTCCTCGCTGCTCGCTTTTAGAGCGGTCCTTTTGGTGCCGGGGAACTTCTGCTAGATCTCGAGAAAGTTGGCCAAGGTGGCGGATTTTGAGCACGCCAGCAGCAGGACGATTTGCGTCTTTTACCCGCAGAACTAGCGGCTTTTTCCATGGCCGAGGCCAGCAGACATTTGCCCTTTGAACATAAAAACGTATCTTTGAATTGGACATTGATAGCTGCCGTCTCACGGGACGAGCCTGGGTGTAATTCGAAAGTATGGAATTGATATTGGTCAATGACAGCAACGAGTGCAGGCCGCCCCGAAGCTCCGAGTGGTGCACTTTTCTGTTGAGGTCCATGAGGAGCTTGGACTGCCCCTCTTTGCAAAATCAGGTCGAACAGAGGGTTTTCGCTCACATTCTTGGGGTGGTTGGCGAGAGCCTGTTTACGACCAACCGGCTCGTGCTGCCCCGTTTTGGTCTCTGTATCAGATTTCACGTATGAAGCAAAGCATTGGTACACATGCTGAGCCCAGCCAATTGGTCAGGTATGCTCCTGATGATGCGTGCAGTCTTGGAGATGCATTGTTGGTGCATTGAATTTTGTATTGGAAGTGATATTATGGTTGATAGGTATTGATCTTAGTTTTGCATCTGAAGTGATCTTAATATTGCTTCGGTGCGATCTTGAGGTTGCATCAGTAATGATCATAAAGTTGCATAGAAACTGACATCAAAGTAATGACAGGTATCTGTTCTTATCTTGCATTGGTGGTGATCTCAGTATTGCACCGGTACGATCTTAATGTTGCATTTGTATTAATATTCAAGCTAAATCAGGTATTGATCCTAAAGTAGCAATGGCATTGACCTAGCTATATCAGGTATTGATCTTCATGCTTCATCAATTTTGATCCTTTATGTTTCATCACAACCGATCTCGATGCTGCATTGGTAGTGGTCTTAATGTCGCATCGGTAGAGACATTACGGCTATGACAGATATTGATCTTTTTTGGCATCATGATGTTGCATCGGACAATCAAAAAGTCGCATCTGTATTAATCTTAGAGTCGCATCAGTACTAATATTCACCTAAATGCTGCTGCAGTAGTGTATTTATAGCTAGTTCAGGTATTGATCTTCATGTTGCACCAGTATTGATCTTGATTCTTCATCTGTATTGACTAATTAAGTCAGATTTGATCATAATACTGCCGCGCTATCGATCTTAATATTCCATTGGTAGACTTTGAAGTTGTGACCGGTATTGATCTTATTTTGTATGGGAAGTAATATCAGAATTATGTTAAGTATTGGTCATAGGGTTATATCATGATCGTAGAGTTATGGCATGTATCCATTTTGATGTTTCAACAGATACTGGTATTAAACCAAAATCAGAATTGTAAACTTTCACAAGGACATCAGTATTCACCCCAAAGCTATATCAGATATCAACTCCAAAGTTTACTCAGTATTGATTTCAAAGGTGCATGAAATGCATATCACTCGGGCACTTTTGAAGATGGGTTCATTATGAATATTTAGAAATATAAGAACGACGTGATATCTTTATAGGATAAAAACGAATTGGACTGGGCATTCATGGAAGCACAAAACTAAGCCCTGATTAATTGGTCTAAGTATGACGGTGGTCAGAACTTGTCACCGCACTACAGTGATGGTTCCCTGGCATACGGCTCTTCGCAACATTCGTTCAGTATAGAATTAACAATCAAATCAAGCTAGGATATAATGCGGTATTGCTACGCCACCAGCCTGATATTTCATTTTGACGCTGCTTCTAAGAGGTAGTTGCTTCAGCAGTTGAGTCTTTTCATAGATTTAGATCTTTCCTCGTATATAAGCCAAAGCCACTCCCGACACAATATAAATCACTGGTACATACTCAAATTTTGCTTCCATCAATAAAGAAACAGTCTAAATAAGCAGATGATACTAGTTTCCAAAATTTACTCCCCATCTCTCATACATTCGAAACGCTATTTTTGGTTCAAAAACATAGCCAATGTTTTAGATGTGGCATGTTCCTAAAATTAGCTGCATACCTAATTTGTAGGTTTTCACTCGAGTCGGTGATATACCCTCGCTTTGTTTCCCAAGCAATATGTACTACAAGCCATACGATAACAGCAACCTAGACAATCTAATGTATCTATCTAATTATTTGACTTTGCAAGAAACAAGTTTGCATCAGTCAATATAACGATGCTATTAGCTGAATTTACAACTTGTGCGGTTAGACTCAGGTGAAATACCAATATACTTTTCCACATTAGGAGATACATACAAGCACTGAGAACTGGATATTCAGAATGATATTTGCATATTTACCACAGAAAATACAAGCAACACTGGAATTTTTTGAATAAGAACTCAAAAAAAAATGCTTTTCTTGACAATAATTTAGTTTAGTTTTGGCAATCCTAATTCATAAAATAATACCACATATCTCATTAAATATCAATTTAGCGTCATCTTGAGCATCAGACATCTCTTATATATTGCATTTTATGATGAGATTTGTTGCTAGATCTTAATTAAGACCCCTGAGCTCTATAACTAGTTTTCTCGGGGCGAATGATTTTTCACCTAATTGAAAAGCTTTAATCTATGTTTATACAATTATTGTTATTAAACAAATACTCACATCCGCAATAAACTCAATTCAATAACAAATAATTAGTTGATAGAGGTAAATATTGAATAATTTGGACTTGTGATAGAGCCTTGTGTCAGTAATGTTAATGTCAATTTTACGTATATATTTATAACAAAGCAGAATTTATGAGTTTGGAATCTGGTCTTTTCCGGACTCTTGTTTTTCTTTCACTTCATCAAGTACGACCTCTGAATGTAGTCAGTTTTCTGACTTATGCTAAATGATAACTTCTAGTTCAAAGACCATGGGATACTTTCCCAAAAATGTTTCTTAAATATCATCCAAGCGGTCCATGATCGTGAGGTTTGATGAGTGGTGGAGGATCGGCATGATTGATGTTGTGGACGTCAGTAATGTGTTATATGACTGATGAGTTTGCAACATCAATGGGGTTGCAACATATTGAGTTTGCAACATAATGGGTTTTCGACTCATGTTTTATGTTTCGGGTTGACAAGAATGAGAATTGCACGGCCTATAGTGAAAGCGATTGGTTCATATAGATATGATATAGATAAAAAACATTCAGAAATAATGCTGATCTTTTTACAGCGAGGCTGATTGTGTTAATATGAATCATGGTACAGTGATGCTAATGCAACAGTGAAGCTAATTTTATTTAGCGAGACTGACCGCCACAATAGCTGAATATTTCATGGCAAACATTCTTGACTTTCCTGAATGATTGCTTTGAGTGAGGCTGAGTGAGATATTGTGAAGTGGATTCTACGACTCTTAAGCTAATCTGATTACCAGACTGGCTTTATCAAATGAAGCTGAGTGGAGCTTCAGAAAGGCTGACTATTCGTGAGGCTCGCTTGAAAACAGTGACGCGCCCAAATTGCAAGAACGTGTCCGCGGTGAAATTGCTGGGGCTAATCGAATCATAATAAAACTGATCGATACAATGAGCCGGAGTTATAGTGAGCCTGTCGGTAGTGAAGGTGTCTGGAAATAGCAAGCTGTATCGTAGAAGCCTAATTCTTTTCAGAAAGCCCTCAAATGACTCTATGCTGAGTCTGCTACTATACTTAAACATGCCCTGGCCAGATATTGGGTTACGCCGGTACACTAAAACGCGTTGCGACTTTGCAATCTTCTCCAAGTCCTCCACCTCGATATTGATGTGGATGGGTTTCGAAGCAAAAATCCCAATGGCGACCGATGAAGAGACGTATATGTCTGAATCAAAAGTACTGATGGACGTGTATACGGAAATAGGTGCAGATAATTAACTTCAAATAAATGAGATCGGCGAATGAGACAGGTTTCGTTAAATACATAATGGATGTACATAAAGAACAAATACCACTTTCGAAATGTCGCAAATAAATAGGGTAATTAATCAGCGTAAACGTACAAGAATAAAACAATGAACGCAGAGGTGGGCCGCAGTAATGCTCACATTCGGTATATCAAATTGGCCAGTGACGTCTGTTCCATACAAATCTCACGCTTGCTCCCCACCAGACCCTGTCCTGCAGAATGGACCACTCCAGCCTCGGGGTCAGCAGGCCTGGAAGAGAACATATCAGGTTTTTACAAAGTTTTCAGCTTCCGCTGTCGCCCTTAGAAGAAAAGCAAAAATACCGTCAAACAGCCAGCATGCATTCAGGTCAGAAACAGCCATTCCATTTCGCTCGGACTTCCCCTCATTTTTCTGGCCCCATCTTGGCTGCGTCATATAGCCCCGCACGTGACCGGGCTCCCCTATCTATACATCCCAAACGAATCAGCGCTGCGCCCTCCTCTTTCTTCTACAAATCAGGCAAAACACCGGTGGAAACAGCTATAAAAACATTCGAATATCGTGAATAGTTGCCACACACTTTACAAATCACACCTCCAAAAGCCACTGCTGCAACTCTCCCCATTTTTCCGCGGTTTTGCCCAGAACTTGTCTCCTCTAGGTGACCTCAGATTGTATCCCCTTCAAGTGACCCTCCAATTGCATCCCCGCAATCGCAGCTACTCGCCCACAAAAACACACAGAAGCCCCCGATAATGAGCGTGCCTTTTACAGTGAAAGCGCTACATGATTACAAATCCGATTACGACGATGACTTGCAGTTTGCCGCCGGCCAGGTGATCACCGTCACGGACATCGAGGATGACGAATGGTACTCCGGCACTTATGGCGGACAGTCCGGATTGTTTCCGAAAAACTTCGTGGAGACCCTTGTCAGCCAAGAGCCCGCTGCCCCTGAACCACCGCTGGCGGCTGCTCCCCGGGGCCCGGCCTCCGGGCCGGCGGAAGCAAACTCGGCTGAAGTGTCCAAAGAAACCGCGGCTGGTGCGTCCGCTGAAGCCCTGGAAAGCTCCGAAACAAGCGTGCCGCTGCAGGCAGAGTCTGCCGAGTCTTTTGACGCCCCAAACGAGTCAGAAACTGACAGTGATCAGGAATCAGACGACCCGGTCGGGCAATCCACTCCCATGCTTCCTGAACCGCTCAACGAAACAAAATCCGTTTTGGAGGCAGATTCGGGCCATGCCGAACCAGCGTCTTTAAGGCCCCCCATCCCGGGTCCGCAGGACCCGTCTCCCGCGCCCATGCCTGTTTCTGGAAAGATGCCAGATGCACCTCCGCCCGTGCCTCGTGTTCCCATACCCGGGTCTCTTCCCCTGAAAAGAGACGATCCGTATGCGATCAATAAGCAATTTATCGGCGCCGGAAAGTCCTCCTATGTGCCTCAGGTCACGCCGAGGGACAACTCAACCATCCCCCATGGCTTCAACGACGTATCTGCAAATCGCCAGATAGCAAGAGAAACAGACGAGGCGCCGCAAGCCGAGTCCAATGAACCCAAAATGAGCTTGAAGGAGAGAATCGCCATGCTCCAGAAAAGACAACAGGAAGAGGCCGAGCGCGAAGCCGCAGCACTCAAAAAGAAGGAGGAGCGCAAAAGAAAGGTAGAAGAGGAGAAGAAACTCAGAGCTTCCCAAGTCGCCACCCAACCGGATCCAGCTGTGTCAGAGACACCAGCGGAGCAAACAAACGACTCGCAACCACTGGGGGAGCAGTCACAAGAGTTAGGACTGGCAGCGTCGCCTCGTTCGATTCCTCTTCAAATGAGCGGGGCAAGTTCGGTTGTTGCTTCGGGCACTCAACAAGAATCTCTTGCCTCAAATCTGCATCTCGAAGAGGCTCAGGAATCAGAGGAAGACTCGACAGATCCAGAAGAGGATGCCCAACAAAACCCTGACACAGAGGTCGAAACAAAAGAATCGACAGAAGAGAACGGTGAAGATGAAGAAGAGGACGATGACTTGAGAAGAAGACGTCTTGTCGAGAGAATGGCGAAAATTTCTGGCGGCAGAAACATGTTCGGCATGATGGGTATGCCAAGCCCCTTCGGCAGCACGCCTGCTCCAGCTGTCAAGTCAACCAAAGAAACTCCTAAACTGCACCCGCCTGAGGATGCTCAAAACTTATCTAGTCCCGTGGATAATGCTTTGGAAGACGACGTCCCCATCCCTGTTGTCAGTCCTCAAGAATCAGAGATCACTTCGGAACCAGTTCCGGGTGTCAATGGTGAGCCTGAGGTACATGATCAAGTCAATGTTGCGCCTGTCGACAATGTCGGGGATGAGGAAGATGATGTCAGCGAAGAAAACTCTGACACCGATTTTCAGGAGGCAGTCGTGTCGCCAGAAGATGCTATCGCAAGAGGTAGGGAAGAAAAATCAACACCAGAAAATCTCATTCAGACCCAAGATAGTATGCTCTCACCTCCCTTGCGCAGTTCATCTCAGAAATCATTTGAGCCACAATTTCGTAACATGAATATCATGGAGGAGGCAGTGCAAGAGTCACTGATTGCGGGTTACGAGGCAGATGCAGATATTCTGGATCGTGGTGTCATTTCAGGAAAAGAACCACAAGTTTTGTCTGATCCTACAGACGTCGCCTCTGACACATCCCCCCGCCCTCATATCCCACTGAGATCTGATACCGCGCCCACGTCGATTCCGCCCGTTCCACTGAGATCTGATACTGCGCCCACGTCGATTCCTCCCGTTCCACTGAAATCTGATACCGCGCCCACGTCGATCCCGCCCATTCCACTGAGATCTGCCGCGCCTACATCGATTCCGCCCATTCCTCCTACTGATACAGAACGCGATGCGCATCCACCTCTTCCCTCGGAAGATGCTCCTTCAAGTCCCGCCTTCCGCGACTTGCTGACAGGCTCGTCTTCCTTGGAGTCACCTCTTGTGTCCAAAGAAACCTTTCCTTCCGACAAGGCGCTTCATGGCTCCTCCCAGGAGCTTCCAAGCATTGCAAGCCGAAACCCACCACCGCCACCACCGCCTCCTCAGTCCCGGGGCTTGACTGATGAGCAACTTCCAACTCACGAAAAGAGGCCTCCACCACCTATCCCAAACGAGCTTCCCGCACCACCATCGCTCCAAGGCCCTAATACCATTGATGGAGAGGAAGATACTTCAGATGAAGATATCCAATTAATGCATACTCAAACCAACCTCCAAAGTAGTGAATCCGGTATTACACCTATCAATGCAGCTCGCAAGGCTACTTCTGGCTCCTTGAAACGAAATTCGACCGAATCTTCACGCAGATTTAGTGATTTGCGGAGGTCGGGGTCTCTGAAAGACAGAAGATCGATTGAGCAAGAGCAGTCTTCGTTACAATTGAATATCCTCGAGTCGGAGTTATCGGTTTTGAGTGAGAGCAGTGGGTGGTGGATTAAGAGTGAAATTCCTGACAGTTTGAGTGGAAAGTTAGGGATAGACTTGGAGTTTGAAGTTGATGAGAATAGAATCAAAAAGAGAGACGGCCATGAAGTCATCTACAAAGACTATTACATCTTATTCCACGACTTGTCTCAACTCATCTTTGAGATTCAGTATCAGAGCGATGATCCGAGAGAAACTGTGAGCGTCAGTTCCGTGAAGGTCAAAGGCTCACCAAAGATCCGGAAGGATATATTGCACAGTTACAGCTCTAACTTAGGACATTCACTTGCCGAGTATGCTGATAAGGCTGTTGGGTCAAAGCTTGGCACCAGTATTGTTGAAGAGGCTTTTCTCCATTTAAGTGCGAAGAATCCAAACTTATTGCGGCCTATTGGTGAAAAGGCTTTCGGATCGGCAATCTACAAAAACTTCAACCACAATGTTACTAGAATCGACGAGATTAGACCAGGTGATATTGTTTGCATGAGAAGTGCGAAGTTCACAAGCCATAAAGGGTTGGGTGGACTAGGTGTTAAAAATATCTCAGCTGGTGAAGGTAATGAAATCTACTCCGCTATTGTTCTACAGTATGATCCGAAGAAAGACAAAATCAAAGTGGCTGAGAGCGGGAAAGGCGGAGTGGTGAAGAAAGAAAGTTACAAATTTGGCGAGATGAAATCAGGCAAGATTAGAATATATAGGGTTGTGTCTCGGGATAGTGTCGGATGGTGCTGAGTACCTCGGCAATTGAGCATTTAATGCATAGGATAAGAATATTCTTCGAGTTTTTGAACATCAACATAGTAAGGGTGGGGACTGCGATATTTTTGGGAGATGTCATCAGGTTTGAAAAGGCATAAAAACTTGAAGGCTCCTTAATACCAAATACACGAATAGACTTTGGAATACGTGATATATTCGGAAGCTTGTCAGTAAACAAGCACTTTCTTACAGCTTCAATATTGGGTATCGATGAATAATAATTAAGGGCGATCATGAACGAGATATCGCTGCTGAAAGACATCTATAATATATGAAATTAACGAAAGCGATACATCGAAAAATACAAGATTATGTCGTGAAATAATTCCTCAGTTTAGCAGACTAGGCCATGCATTCACTTTCCAAATTGCGCCAAAAACTTCTGTTCTCTGTACCTCTAATAAGGTAAGAAAACACCTAAATATGATTTTTCCAGATGACAGTATGATATTCTTTATAGATTAGTTTACGTTGTGTCTGCTAGATTTGTTTTACACAACCGCGTAGACATATTCCGAAACGAACAGGGCAGTACGGCAGGTGTTTAGAGTTTTTAGTATCTGGGTGTATTGTATCAAAAGCTACTAGAGCCCCAAAGCTTCTTGTGCTCCTTTTCTCCTAAAGTCTGAGATATTCTAGAACTATCCGATCAAATCATTTCTTTTGAGACCTTGATGGTACATTCCTCTTAATGTGCCACCTTTAATAGAAAGAAGATCAATCATTTACACGAAACGAACACTAGAATTCACGAATCACTGCTATAGACTTCTTAAAATACATGTAAAAAAAATAAGGATATATTTGCATTTATTGCGGATGTTCCGGGTGACTAGATGAATTTATTACGAATGATCAGAATAGTGCTGCACCCCGCCTATTAAGCAAAACTCAAGTAAAACGTTTTGTGCTAGAAACATCATATGCTTTTGGCATACCAGAATACTAGTTGTCTTTGCTTGGAGTGTTTATTTTTACGAAAATGAAGCTAGATGCTGAGTTTTGAAAAGACGAAATTGCAAACCTGAGTGTGTTACTCAGTCTCGATCAAACGTCAGATGATGATCTATTCATTCAATTCTAAAAATATATATTATGGAAGCAGGAACGGCAAAGAATATGAAGGAACCATTCAGCTCGAAATATTAAGAGCAATTAAAGCATCTGATTCATTACCTAGGTTACTTACTTTCTTGACATACTTAGTCTCTTTCTTGTTCTCCACGCACGAACTTTTTTTGTACTTCTGAACCTCCTTCTTGGTTTGCTGTTGAGTAATTATCAAGACATCTTTTAATTTTTTTTTTCTCTACCCAGATTTATCATCATCTAATGTGGAACAAAAACATTTAGCTATCATTTCAAAATGTTTTTTTTAAGAAACTTCATATTATAAGGTGCCACTGGAGAGATGTAAAACCCCACCACTAACGAAAAACAACAAAGAAAAAACCTATGATAGATCTCAACACTGGCTCAGATGAGAAGGCGCGAGCACCAATTTACGAAATCTTCCAAACTTCTGCCCATAACCAATGTCAACCACTTGAATAAAATTTACTAAATGTCGTCCCATAGGATATGTTCTCCTGAGGGCCCTTGACCAAAGCTCAAGGCAGCAAAATGTGGTATAGATGTAATTCTTCAAATCTTAATGATGGCTATGGCCTTTTGTTTTTGAAGCCGGCTGATCTTGTTTCCTGAGAAAAAGAAAGAAGCTCTAGATGTAAACCCATAAAACAGCTCCCAAATACCTACCAAGTGTCGTTTTTTTTTTCGAAACGCGGTCTAAAAGGTCCAAATTAGAATAAACAAAAAACAGTCACTGATATGTTTGTTTGTTTGACCTCAGTTGACAAATGTTGTCTTACAGAAATTGAGTCAACATGGGCATCTTTGGTTCAAGTGAATATATTTTTCTTACTTTATTTTCACTCAACAACATCCGATATGGTGTAACGGCTAGCACAGGACGCTCTCACCGTCCAGACCGGGGTTCGACTCCCCGTATCGGAGTTTCTTTTCTCACTTTTTTCTCCAGCATCCCGAGTTCCTACAAGAACACCCCGTAAATAAAATATCGAGCATTCTTGATTTACTTATTAGATATCCCATTAAGTATAGCCATACCGCATGAAACAATAAATTTGGATCCGAAGCAATTGAGCGTGATTATATCAGACCCAGGGTCCGCTTAGAAACACGCATTTCAAACGAGATAATTTATGGCTGGCAGCTTCAAACTTGAGAACTAGGATAAGGCAAAACAAATGAGAGTTGTGCTGCTTAAAACTAAGTCAGAATGTGTATGTCTACAGCCCATGGTCTCATGTGTAGTTTTCACCTATTCAGGACCTCAACTCCGAGCATATACGCATAAATTTTCAACAGTGGCTTCTTTACAGTTTATCTTGTTTTTCATGATCAAAGTGTGAACCTAATCAGTTCTTTCCACAGAGAGAAAAGATGAAACTTCGTTGTGCCTTAATGACACTCATGATGCCAGTCGCTTAGTCTTGCACATTCCATGTTGTGGGAGCTGATGCTGCATACTGTTCGTTGCGCTTAAGATTCCTTTGCCAATCAAGATTTTTTTTCATGGGAAAGTTATATTCTGGTCATGCTTTTTCCTGACCAGACCTATGCATAACAGTGCTCAAGAGTTACTATACATAGTGAAGCTTAGCAAATTCATAAAAAGAGGCCATGCAATCATCTCTTCGAAGGGAACTGGCGCTCACAGAAACCGCTCTGCCAAAATGCCACAAATTAGAATCATAAAATTTAGATGAAGAAGACTCATACTGACGTTCTTCCCATTGTAAATAATATCTTCTTGATAAATATACCATTTTCGCACCTGAGCTTGTCCGACTGTTGCTGCAAAATGGCCAGGGTAGCAAGCCATGCGCCTGCCCCCACGCTGCGCCCCATGGAAGCACGACATGCATGAGAACAAGCAAGGCACCGCTGCCCGACACCTGTACCTCCTCAGGTTCAGGCAGCAATTTCAAGCGAAGTTTAAATGAAGCCACCTGCCCTAAATTCTTCCTTAGATCACTCAATTGCTCGGTACGTGAATCTGCCTGGCCATGAGTATTCAGGACTCAGATTTTGTCTTTTCGGTGAAGGGCGATACCTGCACCGAGCAGAATTTGGCCACGCTTGTTTCGACCTTACAAAACCATGGGTGCCATACTCAGGCGAGGCCTGGGCTTGGCCAATCCGTGCTTGTGTTTGCCAAAGTTACCGCCAGCACCTATGATGACATTGTAGCACGTGACTTGGAGGCGGCTGCCGAATTTGGCGTGACTGCCAAGGACGACACGCCGGCAGACCGGCCCAGACTCGTCTACTCGTATTTGACCAGCCCGGCAAGCGCCAAGGAATCCCGGGGTGTGGGGATCACCCCCGGAAAAGGTCTGTGGGGCTTCGTGGAGTCAGTTTTGCTGAATTCCGCCTTTTTGGCCGACAAGTCCATGGCCACATTGGGCCGCAAGTCTGTGCTTTCGCCCTCTTTGGCCACCACCAGCTTGCTCAAGACCCACGGCACGCAAGTGGCATTGTACTTTGAGTTTGTTAAGTTCTACATCTTGGCTTTGGGGGTATTGGCGGTTTTTGGCGCTGTGGCATACGCCAAGTCCAAGGCTTATTCATTGACGTATTCGTTCGTGAGTCTTGCGTGGGGGGTCTCCTTCATCCTCTTGTGGAAGAGAAAAGAACGTGCATTGACCAACACGTGGGGCGTGCAAAACGCACACAAGGTTGAGCAGTACGACGCTGATCTCGCCACAGCTTGCGTAGGGTCGGGGGAAAGGTTTTCGGTGGCCAAAGCCCGGGTAAATAAGGCAGGGACGAGGTTCTTGAGAGAGTTGGCGTTTGTTCCCGTTGCGCTCGTGTTTGTGGCCGTTTTGGTGGTCTACCAGTTGCTCTGTTTCGTCTTGGAGATCTTCTTGGCCGAAATCTACGATGGCCCTATGCAGATGTTCTTGAAGTTGGTGCCCACAGTCCTCATTGCGGGATTTGTCCCGGTTTTGACGGTTGTGTACAACATGGTTGTCGATAAGTTCCTCAACTGGGAGGGGCATGACAACAACTACACACGCTACGACTCGTTTGTGGTCAAAACGTTCACGTTGAACTTCTTGACAGGCTACGTGCCGCTTCTCATCACCGCATTCATCTACTTACCATTTGCACATTTCCTCGAGCCGGAGTTGCCTGTGATAAAAAACCTAATTGTGTCAAATATCCACCTGGACCGGTACGCGTATAAATACTTGTCGCAGATCAAGTCCCAGAGCAACTTCAAGATCAACCAGGCAAGATTGGACGGCCAGTTCTTCTTTTTCATCGTCACCAACCAAGTCATTCTGCTCATATTAAAATACGTCTTGCCTCTCGTGTTGCCGCATGTGTTGAAGCTCGTCAACTCCAAGATCCTTGGTAAAAAGGAGGATGAGGTTCCGATCGATGCGCCCGAGGAGAAGGAGTGGCTCTCGGCTGTTCGCAAATACATCCACTTACCTGAGCACAATGTTCATGACGACTACAGAGGCTTATGCTTGCAATTTGGATACCTCTCCATGTTCGGCCCTGTGTGGACCTTAGCCCCTCTCTTATCACTAGTCTTTAACGTGCTCACTTTTAAGTTGGACACATGGAAGTTGACCAGTGGTCAGTATTTCCGGCCTCCTGTTCCCAAGCGAGTCGACTCCATTCACCCGTGGGACGTCGCATTTTTCATGTTGGCATGGCTAGGCTCCATTGTGTCACCTGCTGTGACGGCATTTTATCGCCATGGAACTGAGCCGCCAAAGACATTGGGTCAATTCGCTTTGGACAAAGCCAGTGTGAATGTTTCCTCCTCGACATACTTGTGGATCACTCTTTTGGCTTCTGAACACTTGTTTTTCGCGTTGTACTTCATTGGCCACAAAGCCATATATCTCTTGCGTTCCGAGAAAGAGGTTGAGAATTCTATCGAACAAACTAATCTCAAGCAAAAGAGTCAAGTCCAACCTCTGGGCGCCGACGAGTCTCGCGACTGGGAGAAGTTGTCAATTGAGGAAATCAAGAAGCAAGCAAAAGGTACTGGCGAGACCTTCTCTTTGGAGAAGAAGTCTGGCAATGCTCAGAATCGGGAAGAAGGCGCCCTGAGTGGCGTTGCATCAGCAGCTTCGAACAGTCAACAGAGCTTGAGCAACAGAGGAAAAAAGCTTGAAGAGCTCCAAAGGAAAAAAGCACAGCTTGAAAGAGTCAAGCATACTTTGGAAAGAAAGCAATTGGAATCTCAGGCGGAGGCAAATGACACTATCATAACCACCATTGATTCGCAGGGTAATAAAATACAGGCAATCATTGACGGCGATAGACACATTGATATGAGCGACGTCGAAGACATAACACGGAAATTGTCAAGAAACGAGGAGAGTGGTATTATTTCTGAAAGTAAGGCCACAGCAAAGGCCATCGGAGAATCTGAACAAGAAAAGCAGGAGAAACAAGAGAAACAAGAGAAACAAGAGAAACAAGAGAAACTGGAGAAACTGGAGAAACTGGAGAAACTGGAGAAACTGGAGAAACTGGAGAAACTGGAGAAGCAAGAGAAACAGGAGAAACTGGAGAAGCAGGAGAAGCAGGAGAAACTGGAGAAGCGGGAGAAGCGGGAGAGCGTTACAGGTGAGTCCCTGGAAGAAGCCTCGACTTCCAGCAAACCATCAAAGAAGAAAAGCATCAAGAGGCTTTTGAAGCGGAGCTAATCTATGCAAGTCTTTAGATTTTCGTGTTTGGTATATACGAGAAGATCCAAACTATTTAATGACCGTTTCTGGGGGGTCTGGCTCCAAAGATTGAAGAACCAACCCTCACACTTGTCGAGCCCTGGCGTATGGCGGTAGTCAAATCGTTACTCATTCCCATGCTCAATTGTAGATCGAGTGAGTACTTCTTGTCTAAGATCAGCTTCAACTCCACCAACGTGGCGAAATCCTGGTTCACTTCTTCCTCAGAGGTGGACTGGGCGAAAGACCCAATTGTCATTAAGCCTTGCAACTGCAAACTCTTGCAATCATTGATAACATACTCCACCGTCTCATAGACCTCTTCCAAATTGCTCAAGGTGTAGCCAGATTTCTGGGCCTCGTCTGACGTATTCACCTGGAGATATATGTTAACTGGAGAGAGACCCGCAGCAGCCCTAGTGGATTCTAGTTTCTTACATTTCTTCAAAGCATCAATAGTTTCAACGGCGTAGAGATTCTCGATATCGCGACCCAAGTCTTTGCATTTTCCACTCTGCAAGCCACCTATGAAATGCCACTTTATATCCTTGGGAAGCTCTTTAGATTTTGCCACTAGCTCTTGAACATAGTTCTCTCCAAAATGACGAACGCCATGATTATACAAGCCCATGATATCGGAGGATGGCTTTAATTTAGACACCGCAACCAATCTGACCGGCAGACTGGCCAGATGCGCCTTCACTTGGCCCCAGACAGCCTCATAGTTTTCAATGAGCTCGGCCTGTCTTTCGGCAGTAGGTTGTGGAAATGACATGTTCAGATAGTTACGAAGATAGATAGAAGGTGAAGGAGATTTCCGTTGAAGGAACCGTATCATATTCGGTAAGGTGGGCTGAAAATCTGACCTTGTGCAGATAAGCGAGAAGACGAGAAAGATCCGAACATCCGCGACTCCAAGCAGGCAAAACGCGTACAGCACCCAAGAATTCCTAGGTATAGGGACCGAGCCCGTATGGGCCATGCAGACCCAGAAAGGGAATCCAGATTGCTAGGAACCCAAGGGTCTGAAGTCCCAAATGCTATTGACTGTCAAGTGCAAAAAGAAAGCTCCGCGACGGGGAATTGAACCCCGGTCTACCGCGCGACAAGCGGTAATTCTAGCCACTAAACTATCACGGATTGATGAATGATGAGAAGGGCTTTCTAATTATGAGGTGCATGTTTAAGAATAAGACAAGATTTGGTCTGATTTCAGCAGTAGATATGCTAAGCAGAACTGAATTTTCATGATTTGTGATGTATTACTTTGTCCCATGCATGAATAACACTCCACAGTTTTGTTTCTTCAGTCAGATGAGTCTATTAAAAACACACATGTGCCGACCATCTAGGCCATAGTTAGCGGAGGAGTCCGGGTCGGATTTCGCCTAGGTAGGCAATTGGGAGTCTTTAAACGTTTCAAATAGTGTTTTTGGTCTTTTCATCAGAAGCTGCAAAAACAAATCCATGGTTTGTCTGGCAATGTCTACCATACAGCAAAACCTAGCCTTCTGTTTTAATAGAGACGATGCGCAATTCATAGAATTGCTCGACTCTCGAAAAGTTATCTATCGGAGCGTCTATTGAATGGAAATCGTTCAAGGTCAGTTCATAAGGCTCTTTTCTATACTTCAATGCATTCATCTTGGGCCTGGTGTTCTTACGAGGCTCTCGGAGATGCTTTTCAGAATTTTGTCGCCCTTCACTGCTCTCCTTGAGAAAACCCAGTTGCATACTTGTGTGGGAGACTGCTGTAGTGATTTCTTAGTCATGTGTGTAAAATCAGTTTCTAAGCCTGTCTTCATCAGACAAGGACCCAAACGAGAATGGCGATCGAGAAAACCCGTGCAACGAGTTTCAAGAAGCGTTTTCAAAGAGTCAGTACTTCTCTCTGGTCCTTTCAGTATGTCAATCCGTGAGTTTCTTTCAGTAACTGCCAATGTCTAGCCCCGGCTACTGCCTATAGCGTCACGTGATCTGGAATGGTCCGATCAGTGCCCTAAGTACTTAGTTCGGTGAGAAGTTCTCATGCTCATCCATAATACCACACAGCGTCAAGAGCACGCCCCCATGCATCTCCAACAGCTCAGCAATTCTGAAGGCCATCCCAAATTCAACATGACATACGCTCTGCCCATCTGACGCCCTTGCCAGTTCGTCCTCATTCAGGCCAAATACTCAATGTGTGGTGCACGGGTGTCAGTGTGGTGTCTAGCGAGCACCGAGAAAAAAAGCCTGGGAAAAAGACAGGCCTCATCTCGGCTCATCAGGTGCATCGCAAGTATCACACGAAAACATGACTGAGTCAATTTACACAGGTGAAGATTTCGAGGACAAGGTCAAGAAGCAGGTTGAATTCTACTTCTCGGACTCCAACCTCCAGACCGACAAATTCTTGTTCAAGATCTACGAGGCCAACGATGGCTGGGTCGAGTTGAAGACGATTTTGACCTTCGGCCGGATGAGGCAGTACAGACCTGAGGAAAAGGCCATTGCCGCGTTGAAGACGTCGGACAAACTTGTGTTGTCTGCCAACGAAGACATGATCAGAAGAAAGGATCCGTTGAAGGATTACAACGAGATCAAGAACACTAGAAAGAAGAACTCTGTGCACATCGAAGGGTTCCCCACCACGTTGCTGCAGGAAGACGTGGAGGAGTGGTTCAACAGCAAGATCTTGCCTACTTTGCCCCAAGAGAAGGCGGTGTGTTCCATCCGTAGAATTAGATCTAGAGCCGACAAGCAGTTCCTTGGGGTAGTCGATGTTGAGTTTAACACGCACGAGGACGCCGAGTACTTCTTGAGTGTTTCGGCCACTTATGCGGACGGAATTGTGAGCGAGGAGAGCGTCGAAGACAAGAAGGACCTCTTGCAGAAAATGTCGCTTTTGACGTTCAGACAGATGAGGGAGTCGGGCAAGAGATTTGGCGTCAACGATGTTACCAAGAGACGCAACTCGTTCAAGGACAACAACCGAAAGAAGATGAGAAAGTCGGACAAGAAGGATGATGAGAAGGTGGAGGAGAAGGTGGAGGAGAAGGTGGAGGAGCCAAAGGAGGAGCCAAAGCAGGAGGCCACTGCCTGAATATGCTTGGACGAGGCATGGTGACTACGAGTATTAATGACCACTAGCCAAATAAACTATACGCATACGTGATGTATTGCACCGCACACTGCGGGAGCTTCCTGTAGCAACGACAATTTATGATATATGGATCCGGCCTTGAGGTGATGACGGCAATTGGACCATTCAGCGTCATTGAGCTGCGGTGACGAATAAACGGGGCAGGGCGTTGGAGAGACCAGAGAAGATTCTTTTTCTTTTATTGATTATTGCGCACGCGTGCAATTTAAAAAAAGGCGATCTATCCAAAAAAAAAAAGAAAACGGAAAAAAAGGCGAAACTCGGCTCAGAAACGGAGTGGAGACCCAAGCAGGCCACAATAAGCCCTCTTTATTTTCGACTGCTTGTATTGACATGTGGTGGTGCTGGCATACCCAGATCATGGCCAGAGGTGCTAGCCAGATTATACCGGACGGCCTTTCGCAGTGAGCCTGGAGCCGTGCCAGGCATCGAATATGGCCAGTGATTGTAGACGAGAGGTGCCAGAAAAGGCCAAAAACCCAGCACATACATAAAAAAGCAAGGGAAACCCTGCTGGGCCCTGCAGACACCCCACAGAATTCCCGAGACTGTCCCACGACTTCTCCAGAAAGCAGAACCGACCACGCCTGCTGTCACGTGACGGTATCGAGTGCGGGTAGGCGGCGAGTCGTCTGGAGGGCGAGAATCTTCACCCGCCAAAGTGGGTGTGCTGCTTGGTCACGGTGCTGTATGTTTATATAGACACTAGTGGTCTTTAGATTTATCTGTTGGGCGTTTAGAGATACCAGAGTCTTAGATTTATGTACTGGGCATTTATATAGACACTATTGGTATTTAGATTAGACGTCAATAGACACCAGTGCCCTCTAGATTCACACCATGGAACAAACTGCGGCATGGGTCCGGGCGCACCCAGCGTCCGGCATGCAAGGCGCGACGCGTCCGCGCTTCACGATCTTTTCATCAGCCAATCCATAGAAAAGAGCCTTTGGCAGAAAACAGACAGTGGCCAGTTCTGCAACACCATCGTTTTTTGCCGACAGAGCGCCAGCGATTACGGCCCCGCCCACCGCCCGACGCACAGAAACGCCTCCAGCTTCTTGAAACGCCCCGAAACGCCCCGAAAAACCATCCGCTTTTGTGCCCTGCTAACCGCCCTCAAACACCCTTCAACAGCCCTCAAACACCCTTCAACAGCCCTCAAACAGCCCCAAAATGGCCGACCAACCGCCCCTCGACACGCAGACCAGAGACTGGTTTGCCCGCAAACTTGGTGCCGTCGACGACGCCACCGTGGCGCGGCTCTGGGCCGTGAAACGGCTCTTCAACCTCTCCAACGACGACGTGTACATCAACTGGGAGTCCTTTGTGGTGACCCACGAGCACGGCGAGATGGACCCCAGCCCCTCCAGCGTGGACAAGTTTCAGCACTACTTGCAGCAGCAGATCTCGGCGGCGCCCCACAAAAAAACGCCGGCGTTGAAGAAAGTGCGCGATCTTGCTGGCGCCAAGCGAAAGCCTGCGATGGACTTCTCGTCCAGCCCCGGCGTCCAGCTCCCCAGCACGCCGCAGTTCAAAAAGGCGCGGCCCACGTCCTTGGCCAGCGAGCCGGACTCGTCGCCCACGCGCGGCAACCTCCCATCCAGCCCGCTGAAATCGGCGGCCGCGCCGCAGGAGAACTGCGTGGTGGAAACCTTGAACCCGCACGTGCAAGCGGCCCAGGGCGCCAGCCACATGCAAGCGGAGCTAGGCGCCGACCCCGGCCCAGGTGCCGTGCAAGTGGTGCGCAACTACGAGCCGGCCAAGTTCCGGTTCCGCACCATGGCCATGAAGCTCCTCGAAAGCGCGGACGTGTTGGACGAGCAGATCGACAGCGTCAGCCTGCAGATGCTGGACATGTACAAGGGCTCGGACGTCCTGCTCGGCAACCCGTGCATGAGCTCACAGTTCGACATCGTGTGCTGCGGGCGCATTGTGCCGGACCTGCCGCTCTTCGACCTGCTGCTCGGCGCCTTGAACGACAAGTCGCTCTACTTGGAGACGTCGCGGTTGGGCGGAATTGGCCAGCGCATCCCCCTCGACGTGTCGCGCTTGGCCGCGTACTCGTTTTTCCCGGGCCAGGTGGTGGGATTGAAGGGCCGCAACCCCACGGGCCGCACGTTCGTAGTGCACGAAGAGGTGCCGGTGCCGGGGCTCGGCGTGCCGGTGTCGTCGCTGGATGAACTCCAGAAACACCGCGCCTCCTGCGGCCCCAAGGTGTTTGTTGCCGCGGGCCCGTTCTGCAACCAGCACTCGTTGGACTACGCCAAGCTCGCGGCGCTCGTGGCGCTCCTCAACGCCGAGATCCGGCCGCACGTGGCCATCTTGTTCGGGCCGTTCCTCGACGTGGCCAACACGGCCGTGCAGGCCGGCGACGTGCACCTCGAGGGCGTGCCGCCCAGCCAGCAGCCACGCACCTTGGACGAGCTCTTCCGACTCCAGGTCACGCCGCTCTTGAAGCAGATCGACCGCAACATCCACGTGATCCTTGTGCCGTCCTTAAGGGACGCGGCCAGCAAGCACGCGTCCTACCCGCAAGCGGCGCTCGACCGCAAGCGGCTCGGGCTCCCCAAAAACTTCCACTGCTACGCGAACCCAAGCTCTTTTTCTGTCAACGAGGCCTTGTTCGCCACGTCCAACATGGATGTGTTCAAGGACCTCAAGGACGTGTACAAGGCGTCGCCCGACGGTGCGGGCAACGTGCCGGCCAACCGCTTCGACCGCATCGCTAACCACGTGTTCCAGCAGAAACGCTACTACCCAGTATTCCCCGGGGCCGTGCGCAAGGCGCCGCTTTCTGCCTTAGAGTGCGACCGCGTGGCGGCGCTCAACGAGGGCGTGGCGGGTGAGGACTTGGCCGACATTGCCGTGGGGGGCTCGTGCCTCGAGGTGCCGTACTTGGGGCTCACGGAACTAGTGGACTCGCTCCCGGACGTGATGTTAATTCCCTCGGAAATGAACGCCTTCGCCAAGGTGGTGCGCGGCGTGGTCGTGGTCAACCCCGGCCAGTTCGTCCGGCCTAGCAAGGACGCGTCGCGTCTGGAGGGCAACTACGCGGTTTTGAGCATCAAGCCGCCCGACGACGCGGAGCCCGACAACATCGAGCCCGTGGAAAACTCCGACTTGTACTACCACAACATCTACAAGCGGTGCCGCGTGGACATCTACCGGAGCTGAGACGGCGTGCTGTGCGCCGGGAGGCGGCTAGGCGCGGCAGCCTTCGCCCCATGGTTGTTTTGCCAGTGGGCCCAGGTCATTGAGGCCGCAGATGCCAAACGGCTCCATGGTCTTTATTTGTCCGTGAAGGAATTCAGGGCACGTGCCCCGAAGATGGCCGGAAGTACTCGACGCGGCCGGTCCACTAGTACATGATGTGCACATTCCGGCACCACGGCACATCCGCTTTGGGGCGCCCCGGAATCTTCTTACGGTTCTGCATGCTTATAGATCGGGCCCCCATATCTGGTAATATGAATGGTGAGCCCAGGCCGTGGCCAGTGCATCGGTGATTTCGTTCGACCACTGCAGACCACTGGTGGCATATGACTACGAGCGTGCCGAGGTAGACCATTGGAAATAGATCGAAGCAGACCAGTATAAGTAGATCGCCGAAATACACCTCTGCATAAGACCACCGAAGTACACATCTGCACAAGACCACTGAATAGACTGCTGCAAGTAGCCCCAGCAGGTTTACCATTGCTGGTAGCTGCGTTCCACAATCAGACTAACAGCACTGCTGTTCGTTGACTGCAAGTCCTATAGTTTTACCACACGCTATTTTGATGTGCCCCGACTGACCACTATCAATGCCAGTCATCCTAGTTTGGCCCTGTGTACTGCCTCATACAGGCTGCCGACCATATTAACATGATAATCACTACAGCCTGTCCACGAAATAACGCAATGCTCGCAATGTTGGTATTGCCACTGCAATAAACCGCTGCCATCCGACCAGAACTGCCCGATGCACTTGGATTACTCACTAAAGTTGCTGGCTTTAATTAGACTACTCAGGCTGTTTGGCAAGCTGTCTACAAACAAGCTTGGTATTCCCACTTCCAAAGGACCTAGTACTTTACCGAATGGCCCAAGGTTAAACCCGGGGTTGTGCAGTTTGAAACCTGGCCGAACAACCGGATTGATATGGCATATGCACTGCAATCAGACAAGTTCAGACTTTCAATGTTTCAGACCACAGCGATTCCAAACATAAATTCTGTTGGGGCATATTTTGACTATGCAATTGATCACAAGCTCAGTCTGCCCTCTGCACTTCGCAACCTGACCAATCCAATTTTGCAGCAGTTCTTCATTGAAATCAAATTTGATAGCCAAGATGTTTTGAACGGCTTGGGATTCCCTGAACGACTAGTCCACCAAAATAAGTCACTGCAATCATTTACTGTACTGTGCCACACTGCAATTCTCCATATAAATGTAATTAATTCGCCACCACTTTTATGTGATCATTTCAACTAATCGCTTTGATTTCCTCTTCAATCACAGGAGTTTGTTTCTAAAAGAAGCAACAGATATCTGGTCAGTATTTGCTTTTCCTGGAAATTATGTCACTGGAACTACGCACAACTTGGTTCTTACTTGCAATGAGGGCAGTGCAAATTGCCCCATTATTCCACCACAATTAGGTTACCTAGTTAATATGCTCCAAACAATGTTTCAGCCAGAGGATCTTTAGTAAACCACTGGATTTTTGTACTTTTCCACTGATATCAAACCCCAATATTCCAGATGCACTATGTAACGTTTGCACAGTGTGGGCATGCGATTCTGCATCTCTAATACAATCAACGCCAATTGTCCGCATTTGATACACCGTCCACCAAAAAACATTTATCACTTGCTCTTCAATATATTCACCATTCATTCCCCATTTAAACGCTGTCTAGGAAAAATTCACCAGCAATTCCTTCACAAGTGATCCGCAATTTATTTACAACAGACCATCAACTCTTTCACAATTCATTCACAATTCATTCACAATTAAGGCATAGTGACTACACATTAATCAAAAATTCAGCACCGATCCCAAAATTTATTCACACTTTAGTCACTATTGATCCAAAATTTATCAGCAACTCCTCTTCAATCTATCCACAAGCTATCCACCATAGATCCACAGTTCGAGCACAAGATATCCACAATTGACCCACAATTCATGCACAAGTTATCCACAGCTCATTCCCAATCCGCTCACAACTTTACACATGTATCAACGTTCCATCCTCAAGATATCCTCAATTAATCCACGACACTGCAATTTTGCAACCGGTCCTGTGCATTTGCACAGTCCTGCTGCGACTATTATACCACCGCGTTTATAAAGAAAAGGCGCCAAAACACTGGTCTTTTCTCTGCCAGCGACTTTGCCACATACAAATGATACGCATGTCGTTGCTCAGGCAAGCCGTGTTTCACACGTGTCTCGGGCCCTCATGCCGGGCCGTGGTGCTGCTCGGGCCCAGCAGATGGTACTCTAGTATGGGATCTACCATCGATTCCACCAAAGCCACTAGACCCGCCAAGAATTCTACCCGAAACCCCGATGCCAAAGCTGAAACCAAAGACTCCACGATATTTATGGAGGCCGCCTCGAGATCTGCCGAGGGTTCTATTCAATCATCTGGGGACTCTACCGAAGCCACCGAGGACTCTACTGAAGCCACCGAGGATTCTATCAAATCTGCCCAGGACTCTACTGAAGCCACCAATAATTCTATTAAATCTTCTGGGGACTCTACTGAGGCCACCAAGGACTCGGTTAAATCCTCCCAGAATCCTACTGGCGCCACCAATGATTCTACCAGAACTACCAATGTCTCTATGGAATCTTCCAATGTCTCTATGAAATCTTCCAATGTCTCTATGGAATCTTCCAAGGTCTCTACCGAAGCCATTCCCTCCTTCAAGTTGCGCGACTACCAGCTGGACGCCGCCAACAGCGTCATGCGCGCCTTCGAAGAAGGAATCCGGCGTCCTGCCGTGGTCCTAGCCACCGGCGGTGGCAAGACCGTGGTCATGGCCCATTTGGTGTCGCGCATCCCGTCGAAAACCTCGAAGCGATACAAGACCTTGGTGCTCTGCCACAAAGACGAGTTGTTGAATCAGACGGTCCGCACCGTAACGGCCATGAATCCCGACTTGGTCGTGGGGATTGACCGGCGCCGAGTCATGCCGCTGGCGGACGCGCAGGTGGTGGTGGCATCCGTCAGCACGATCGTGCGGACCTCGCGGCTCCAGAAGTACGATCCCGCGGAATTCAAGACCATCATTGTGGACGAGTGCCACCATGCGCCGGCGATGTCGTGGATGAAGATCTTGAGCCACTTCGGCGCGTTGTTGCTGGGCCTGGAGGTCGGGGTGGTTGGCTTCACGGCCACCATGGAGCGCGCAGACGGCAAGGCGCTCGGCGAAGTGTTCGAGAAGATCGTGTACCGGCGCGACTTGCAGCAGATGGTGCGGGCCGGCGAGCTCTGTGACGCACGGTTCTTGTCCATGGACGTGGACGTGGATCTCGATGGCGTGAAGCGCATGGGCGGCGACTACGACCCGCGCCAGTTGGACTCTGTGGTCAACTGCGAGAACGTCAACGGGCAGGTGGTCAAGGCGTACATGCAGCTTCGCCACGAGTTCGGGCTCAAGTCCACGCTTGTGTTCTGCGTGAGCGTGGAACACTGCCAGGCCATCTGCGGCGCACTCCAGGCCTACGGCATCAACGCTCAGTATGTCGCGGGCACCACCGACAAGCACGTGCGCCAGACGGTGGTCAGCGACTTCCGCAGCGGCAAGATCGCGGTCTTGTGCAACGTGCTCGTGTTCACCGAGGGCACGGACATCCCCAACATCGACCTGATCATCTTGGCGCGGCCCACCAAGTCGCGGCCCTTGCTCACGCAGATGGTGGGACGCGGGCTCCGGCTCCACGAGGGCAAGACCACGTGCTACGTGATCGACATGGTGCACACCTTGCGCGTGGGCGTGCTGTCCGTGCCCACCTTGTTTGGGCTTCCACCCACGACCCCCTTGAACGGCAAGAACTTCGAGGATCTCTTGAAGGACCAGGAACAGGCCGACATGGAGAAGGCCGAGCGTGCTGCCCGCCAGCGTGAGCTGGACGTGCTCCGCATCATAGAGTACCAGCGCGAGGTGCAGCACATCCAGCTCCAGTTCGAGGAGTTCTCCAGCTTCGGCAAGTTGCTTTCGAAGGAGAAGTTCGCGGACCCGCCCGAGCGCGTCCTTGAATTGTTCCGCCGCTCCGGCTATGACTGGGTGCGCTTGGAGTACAACACGTGGGGAATCCCGCTCAACAACTGGACGTCGTACCTCACCATGGAGCGAATAAACACGGAGAACGACGGCTCATATTTCGAGCTTTACCTTAACGTGCCCGTCAGCTACTATGTATTGCGTGCCAGCAAGTTCCAGTGCCCGAGAAAACAGCGGAGTCTCTTGAACCAGGGTAGCTTGGACTTCCTCTTGACAGTGGCGGCGCAGACGTTGGGGCAGAAACCGTTCCAGGCGCACCTGAAAAAGCCTGCGCTGGAAAGGCAGATCGACTTCTTGTTCTCGTCGTTGCAGGCCAAGGTGCGTGCGACTCACGGGGCCTCCCGGCTCGATGACTTCCACCAGGCCTTGACTAAGATCAGCTCACGCCGTGCGCATAACTTGATCTTCGCGTTCAAGTACTCGTTGAACTGTCTCTGGGTGTCGTGGGAGCTCCGCAAGTTTTTGGGCATGCCGCCGAATTGGTTGCGCAAGATTTCGAGGGGACAGATGCGTGTGGAGGAGATCCGCCTCCGGCATAATGTGACTGAAGAAGAGTTGGAGTCAAAGGTGTTGGCCCTAGGGGATGCGAGTGCCATTGAGTACGATGGGGAAGAGGGGAATCGTTGGAAGAATGAATGAGAAGACATATTATGGAGAGAGAGAGAGAAAGAAAGAGAGAAAGAAAGAGAGAAAGAAAGAGAGAAAGAAAGAGAGAAAGAA